CCGATGCCAGCGTTGCCGGCGGGTCGCCCCGGGGCGGTGGGGCGTGCGGGGGGCTGTGCGTCGGGGGAGCTGGGGCTGCCTGGAGTCGTTGAGTCTTATGTCAAGTGGGAAGAGCGGAGGCCAGCTGGCGTTGCCCAGTCTTCCCTGCACAAGTGTCCTGCGTCTGCCAGAAAGCGCCGGCAGGTAGCCCTGTGCGCGGGGGCAGAGAGACGTTGGAGCCCAGCTCCCTGGCCAGCCGTTGTTTGCGCCGAGCCGGGACCGTGGCGGGCACTTTCCGAGCAGCGAGGTGGACCGGAGCCCCGGCCCAGAGACCTGAGCATCCAAAATCCCGTGCCATCACTTGCTCCTCCCTGGTTTGGGAGGTACGGCTGAGGGCGCGCTGTAACCTGGCAGGGGAAACACCATGCATCTGCATCCGAGAAGGCGGTTTTCCTCAATCACTTTGCAGGAGAACTGCTCTTCTGGCGTGGTTCAGGACTTGCTGAGGTGCAGCAGCTTTAAGCCCAGCTCATGGAAATGGGAGTCTCTTCCCTTGCTGGCTCCAAGGGCCTTGTGGCTGAGGGCAAGCAAACCTCAGGGGCATCCGAAGCTCAAGCCTCCAGGCTTGGACCTGCACATAGGATGCCTGCCGAAGGTGGCATCTGAAGCCCCAGGTGGGGTGGAGGATGTTTGCCAATAGCATGGCTCTGGACGGACTCACAGATTTGGAATCGATTTGGCTATTTGGATTGGGACTTGCAAAATCCTCCTTTAAAAAAAACAAAAAATCACTGCATGCTTAGCTGCCATCACTTGCAGGTCAGCAGGACCAGTCAGAGATTAAGCGTGCATGTGGTGAACATTTGCACCAAGTTGCCTGTCTTCATGGAGAGCATTGCACAGATTTTCAGGGTTTTGTGCTTTCACGGGCTGACCACAGTGATATTTTTTTTTGGTTGAAGAGAGAAACTAGAAATTTCAGCAGATGGGCTGTGTGCTTTTTCTGTCTGTGGCTGAGAGGCCACGAATGCTAGAGGGTCTAGAACGAGGGAGGCACATGCTGCAGATCTGGCTGGGAAAGCTTAGACAAAACTAAACCTGAGCTGATAACAGCATGTGGAGCTCAGCCTGATCAGCTGCATAACATCCTCCTGTCGGCAGTGGGAGAAATAAAAGTGCTGTAATACTCATTTTAAAGGTGACCTTGTGGCCTGTCAAGGTTTGGGTTCTTGTTGAGACCTGTTAAACGTGCCTCTTCAGGGTACCAGGGACATCGGCCTCGTCCCTGCTGGCATCAGTCTGTAACCCGCGTTTTCGTAAATCCATTCCAGTGACCTGCATCGTTACAATGAGGCAAAATCCTTACTTTTGTGTGCTTTTAAAAGTGCTTTAAAAAGAGAATGGTCTCAAGTTGCAGCATAGGAGGTTTAGGTTGGATAATAGGAGGAACTTTCTGATGGGGAGGGTAGTAAAGTACTGCAACAGGTTAACCGGAGAGGTGGTGGAAGCTCCATCCTTGGAGGTTTTAAGGCCCAGCTTGACAAATCTTGGCAGGGATGATGTAGTTGGGGCTGGTCCTGCTTTAAGCAGGGGGTTGGACTAGATGCGACCTTCTGAGATCCCTTCCAACCTGAATTTCTGTGCTTATATGAATTTGAGCCAAATCGGGGGCCGGGATGATTTGCTTTTCAACCCTAAAGATTTGTTTGCTTGTCCTAATTGAAGTGTCCACTCAAAAACATGATGATGATCAGAAATGCAATGAAAAGGGGCTCAGGCTCTTCACTGCTGCCTTGTGTGAATAGGTCAGCGGGGGAAATGACAGCAAACCTCTGTCTCTGGGGGCAAGGCACGGTTGCAGCTTCATCAACTTTGGAGCTAACTGTGTACGTCGTTTTGGTGGCAGGCCGAGCACCTCGTGATGCAGCTTCAGGGGGGTGTGAGTGCACGGGCCGAGAGGGGAATGCAGGGGCAGAGCTGGCCCTCCTGAGCTCTCGTGTGCGTTTTGGATGGAGCGGCGCTCAATCTGCGAGCTCTGGTGCACGTTAACCAAAGCGTGTCTGTCAGGCCTTACCTGCACTTCCTTTAGCGCCTGCATTGCATTGGGCTGACTGTGTGTAATGGCTGGCATTATTTATATGGCGTCAGCGCGTGCTTCATGCCTTGCCTCTGAGTAAGACGATGAGGTCCCTGGCCTGAGGGGATCGCGTTCTGGTGAGGCATTTGACATAATGGGAGGTTACAAGATCGCTGCGGAGGAACAGAAAGGGAGCGGGGTACGTCGGGAAGGAAAGCAGCGTGTGGACGATGGTCCGGGGCATCCTGTTCTCCAATGAAATACAAGGGTGGGAGCAGGCAGGTCGCTCCTGTCCTGTGATCAGTGCTGGATACTCCTGAGCTTCAGCACCTGCTTCTCATGTCACAGGAATAAACTGGATTTAGGTTTTTGGGGGACTTTCCTTCCCCAGGGCTGGTGCACAGGAAACTTGGAGTCAGGCCCCATGTGAGTGGGTGAACAACACACGCAGCGTGCCTTTGCGTTAAATGAGCTGCATCTTAAACGGAGGGAATGTGGACTTGTGTTTCCTGTTTGCTGTGTAACCATGGGATGAATCAGCAGCGACATAATGGTGCTGAATGGAGCTGCTGACTCATAAGCAAGAAGACACATGCTAGCCCTGGCTTCCTGGGTTAAAGGGGTTCAGCCGTGCTGCTGAAAGGGGCAATAATGCCTGGGCCTGGGGCAGGCTCCCTTGCTCGAGTTGCAGGTGGAAGGATGGCAGGCACAGGGCCATGGGGGCTTTTGCTCTGCTTTAAAATACCAGCATCTGCCCCTTGGGGTATGAGCTGAAGACGGGAGCAGGATTCCCGAGGGTCGTCCCCTTGGCAGCGAGGTTTGTTGCCCCTGGAAGGCTGCCGAGCGGAGGGGGGCGCGTTGCCTGCAGAACGTGCTCCGTGCTGCTGGCAGGGAGGAGGAGGTTTTGAAACCATCTGGTTTCCAGGCTGCCGGCTGCACACACTGGCTTTGGAGAAGAGCCAGCACCTGCCCTGAACGATTGTGCTGCTAACGTCCTCCCTCTGTGCCGAGCACACGCGTGCAGCCCGTTCCTCCTCATCACGCTGAAAGCCTCCGAGCCTTTTCAGATGCTGCAAGCATCTGCTTCTCTCGCCGAGCGGCGATGGACGGCTCCATCTCTGTTCAGATCTTCTTCAAGCCTGCGTCTGGCCTGAGCATTTTTCCCCCCTCCTGCTTCCTTTGTTTCCCACTGTGCTGCCCCCAGCTAAGGGACAAAGCATCTGTCTGCTTTGAGCACCTCTGCTCCCGTGTGCCTGGGCACTCCGCCATGTGCCATCTTCAGTCCTACTTGCTCGTGCACGCTTTCCACGTAAAGGCCTGCTGGTTGGGGAGCACAGCTCCACAGCGTGCGTGTCCGGTACCGATGGTCCCTGGTTTGGGACAGCCGCTTTCACCCGGGTAGTTTGCACCGGCTGTATGTGCTTCGGTGACAGCCATGGCAGGAGGTGTCCCAAGCTGCCCTGCTGGATGGGCTGAGGCTTCCTCCTGTGCCTCTGGGGAAACTCGCCAAGTGGCATCTGGCAGAACCAGCTTTCTCTCTGCTTCCCTTTCATGCCACGGCCTGATTAAAACCAAGAGGCAGGCACAGCATCTTTAGCCCCCCGTGGGGATGTTTACAGACACCCCATCCATCTTTGCAACGAGGTGGCTGTGGTTATTCCTGTTCCATCGCAGGACAGTCTTGTACCTCCTGGAGTTTCCTAAGATGTCACGTAACTTTACATGGCTGCATGACGCTTGCAAATGGAATGATGTTGGGCGAGAGAGATCTTCCTTCAGCGTGAACCGATCTGTCCAAACCTCTCTGGAGGGAAGCTCGGCGTGGCACCTAATGCTGAGTTCAGCTATCTTTTCTTTTTCTTCCCCTCCCTGCCTCCCCTGCAGTGCTGGGGAACATTTTGGCTTCACCTGCAAAATCGCCAGTGATGATCAGATTGACTCGCCGGGTAGGAGTGAGCTGAGAGTGTGTCTGGATGGGGTGATAAATTTGCCACCTGCTATTTCCAGCTGATCTTGCACGGAAGAGTCTGGCCGTACCAAGATGTGCAAAAGCCTTCTGTAGCCTGAGGTCAGCCCCGGTCTGTTGGGCTGCAGTGATCTGACGGCGATGGTGAAGTGGGATCTCTCCGTCCTGATGTCCTAAGGTGCTGCCGCAGCAGGGGGGCACTTTCCAACCTTGCTTTTCAGTGCACTTGCTGAGCTGCGTCCGGCTGCAGACTGAAAGCTTTAAAAGGACAAGCCTAATGTTTCGCTTTAATGTTTAATGTTTCTCTTTAAAATGATGGGTGGTAAGGTCAGAAGGGGGGCTGGAGGCTTTGTTTGAGTGCTAGATTTACTGCCCTGAGTAACGGCATCCTCAAACTCGCATCGGGGAGGCCGCTCCAAAACCAGGCTTGGTCTAGCGCAGGGGTGGGCAATTATTTTGGGCAGAGGGCCGCTTACTGAGTTTTGGCAAGCTATCGAGGGCCGTGTGACAGGCAGGCAGGGGCAGATAAATATTAATTTTCTAAATTTTTTAGGGACCTGCGGGCCGGATAGAATGGCCTGCGGGCCACATCCTGCCTGCGGGCCGCATTTTGCCCACCCCTGGTTTAGCTGCTTCCATGCAATGTCCCTGCTTAGCTGGAGGGAGCTGCCTAATTATTAGCATGGTTGCTCAGCATTGCTAATTAGCCAGCCTGACAGTGAACCTTGCAGCTGTGGCCAGGTAACTTCTGATTTAGGAGGCCGCCAGCCTGGAGCAGTAGGCCTGAGAGCTGCTGGGCACGGTGAGCAAACTGTGTAGATGTGGCCATGTTGCGGCTGGGAGCAGTCTGGCAGTCAGGAAGTCGTGCAGTAAAAACCCCTGTGCTGAGGCAGGATCGTGCCCATCTCAAGGGAAGCAAATGGCATGTGCTCAAAGTCCCCCGGAAGCAGATCTTGGCTCCTCTAAAGGCAAGGTTGAAAGCTCAAGCATTGCAATGAGGGGCGGATGCAGCCCTGAGACCCAGGGGGAGGGGGACACCTGCAGTGAGTTCCTGTAGCCCCAGCCACGAGGTAGCAAAAGCCCACTGCTCCTCCTACGGGCTGAAACCGTGCCCCCAGCCCGGAAGGAGTGAGTGGTGCCTGCGAGCCCCTGCTCTGCCAGCCCACGTGTTCTGACTTCCCTTTTTGCGGCTCGGCTCTGAGCACCGGATCCGGCCTTCCTGCTGCCGGGGGCCTCTGCCGGGAGGGAGCGTGGTTCTCGCGGTCTGCAAATGACACTAGAGCAGAAGGCTGGAAAAATGTGCAAAGCTATTTTGGGGCGGGGGTGTGTGTGTGCTGGGCTGGGACTCGGCTTATGGAAGTACAGCTGCGTGAAGACCTGTGACAGGGGAGGGCCTTTGAATGAGCTGCTGCTTCTCTGGTGCCAGGCTGGTTGGGAGATAGCATCAGTGCTCGTTGCCTGGTCCAGCCTGCGCCCCTGTGCCTTGCACCCTGGGGTCTGGTAAGACTCTGGTCTCCACATGGATGCAGCTGCTGATGCTGTGGGTAGGGCTCCTGATCCCAAGCTGTTTTCCCTTGCCGCTGATACCACCCTGCGGTGCTGCAGGCAAGATCTGGCCAGGGTCTGCAGTAGCCAGCGGGGTGGATCCTGAGGCCTTCTTGGTGCCCAGGGCAGGACCTTGCAGATGGCAAATGCACCTGGAGGCCCCGTGCACCCACCTGAACCAAGCACATCCCTGTTTTTCAGCTTGACCATAATGCACTGTGGACTTTGGCCCATTCTGGGACCAGCAGCAGCTTCTCTGTTGCGCTCTTCTGCTGCCCTCTCGCAGACAACGGCTTTGGAGCCAGTTGCCTGCTTCGTTTTGGTGTGGCGACCTTCGCATTGCGTGGCGATGCTGCATTTCGCTGCGCGGCGGTCGCGGTGGGCGTGATGTCGCCCCTGTAGGCTCTGGAGATCGCAGCCCAGGTGGCAGCCCCAGGAGTAGTGAAGCTCCAGCTCTGTTTGATGCTGTGCTCAGCTGTTTGCAAAGGTCGGGGAGCTGGAAGTCGGGCCTTTCCAAGGGACAGGGCTTGTGGTTGCTGCAATGGCTGTGAAATAGTTGGCAATTATGACCAGAGCTGTCGTGTTGCAAGGCTGGGGGTTTGGTGGGGTTGTTGCCAGCAGTTTGTTTTCGCTGCTACAGTTAATGCAGCAGCCTCTGAGGGGCTTTCCTGGGGGAGCGATGCTGGGTGTGCTACTCCAGGAGGGGATTTTACTTTGCTAACCAAGAGATCCTGGGGATTTATGAGACTGGAA